TTTCTTCTATTTCTGTCACTCAAACCAAGCTCCAGTTTCCGACATTCTTCGTACGTATGCCGAATTGGAAAGCTCCAATCCATACGCCATTGACAATGTCAATTTTGCTATCTCGTGACGGTCCCACATCCAGGGCTCTTCCTGCCCCGAAGCGATAACGCCATGGTTATTAACGAGTGCGTGTCCACTAGGTCATTTGAGGCCCTTTCTCTCCCCCTTCTCTCAGGATTCTAGGCATGACGCGCCACGAAGATATCCTCGCTGCCGATCGCAACGACGTTGCTGAGGTCATTGAACAGATGCCTCATCTCTCGGACGAGAAGCGTTTGAGCGGATCAGACTTCTCGTCCAACGAGAAGTACGACCAGGGCAAAGTGGAAGCCAACATTGCTCGTGTCGAAACTGACGACTATGAAGACAAGCTATACGATGAACATGGAAAGGAAAAGGTTCTCGAGACCCCAGAGGATTTCGCAACCGCTCTAGTTAGTCTCGAAGATGACCCAACACTACGGATCCATACTTTCAGAATGTGGTTTAGCGGTATTGGGCTTGCTGTCTTCGGAGCAGTTCTAGGAATGCTCTTCGTATGTTTCTCTTCGCCGTATCTTCCCATAATGCTAACCTGTTATTCATAGCAATTCCGTCCACAAGTCATCAGCGTCTCCGCCTTATTCCTTCAAATATTGGCCTTTATGTTAGGAAAGATGTTTGAGTTTATCATTCCTAGTCCTGGAAGCAAGTACCATAAGAATAACTGGTTCTGGAACTTCATGAATCCGGGGCCTTTCAGTGAGCTTAATTATTATTATGGACGTTTTAAATATTTTTATATCGGATGTCCCTAGACATTAAGGAGCATGTCGCCGCACAAATTATGGCGAATACTGCTGCCGGTGCTGCTTTAGCCTGCTTCGTATTCGCTTCTGATGATCTCTTCTACAACATCACGGTCAATGTAAGAGATCACATAACTGGGATCCTATTAAATAGGTCGCTGAATTTTTCCATAGGCTGGAAATGCCATTTTCACATTATTTGCATCCCAGTTGATGGGCTATGGCTTCGCCGGAATGTTCCGTATGTAATGCATTGCCTGCAGTTCTGTCACATTAATGACATGACGATCTAGGCTCTTTCCTCGTCTACCCGACAGTCATGCTTTATCCTCAAAACCTGATTTATGTCAATCTATTTGATGTTTTGCATAGGTCCAAGGGAGAACTTCTTCAAGGGAAACGTCTCCGATTCTTCTGGATTGTCTGTGGAGCTGTGTACGTGATTTTACATATTGATCACGTTCTAAACTCATAAGAGGTCGACAGCTTCGTATATGAGGTTTGTTTTATTTTCCGTGTCACAAAAGTGTTATTCACGAAATCAATGCGTATGTAGTGGCTACCAGAGGTACAGTTTTTTCGAAGTTAATTTTCCGAATTTCATCGCTCATGGTCCCAACAGTATATTGCACCTCTTCTCGGATCCTTCAATATCGTCTGTCTTGCCGTTCGTGATTCCAATTGGGTATCTTACATCTTCGGAGGTGCCGAAGGTAACGAGGGAATGGGTCTTCTCGGATTCGGTCTTGACTGGGCCAGTGCGTCATTACCCGCCTTCTTACCCGAGAATCTGCCGATCTTATGCTCCTTATAGACATCACTAGTGCACCATTCTACCAGCCTCTCGCCACTCAGATCTCGAGTGAGTCATATGAGGCATCTCAGAAGCTAACTTGATAACTAATTTTATGATCCAGCCTACGTTGGATGGGCTGTCAATTATCTCCTTCTTCCATTGGTCTTCGCGGGTAACCTCTGGTGTGTATATCTAATATCTATTCTGTTAATTTCTAACGATTTGGTACAGGCATTCCAAGAATTTCCCGTTCATCAGTCAGAATTTGTTCTGTAAGTGATAAAGATTTCTATGCTGGCTCAACATGACTTACCGTTATCACAGTCGAGAATGGAACGGTTTACGATCAAAATCTCATCCTTAATCCGTATGCTCTATTTTCATGTGATTTCTTTGCTTTGCCGTTTACAACTCACTCAGCGATTTCTCGTTGAATAAAACCGCTTTCGAAATCGTTGGTCAGCCATGGCAAAGTGGTTCCACCGTTATCTTCAATATTGGTGTCAATCTTTCAATTGGTATGTTGTTGTGGGCGTGTCATCGAATAATTCTCATGCCAATATAGGAGCAACCTTCGTCCACATCGGATTATGGTAAGTCATAAATTTACCACACACACACACTACGCATATGGCTTATTGATTTGATAGGTATGGAAAGGACGTAAGTCAACAGATGCTTCATGCTTCAGCTCGTGGCTTTTGACTAATCGTTGCCAATTTAGTTGTACAAGGCTTTCAGCGATTAGTGAGAGAAGTCTCCTGGTTAAGCGTGACTATGTATTAAACTTTCCCTACAGCCTTCGTGGGACACCCACCCCTGATCCCCATTACGCCAAGATGAAGGTGAGTAATCACACGTACCCAATACTTAATTGCATATATTTAATTTAACTATCCTAGGTCTACAAAGAAGGTAATGATCGTGTTAAACTAATCAATACTGTATAATTAAAAAAAATCACAAATTATTTTAGTTCCCATGTGGTGGTATGGCTCTCTCTCTCTGGCCGGTACGTTATATTATATTTTATCCAATGCCTAATTTCCTCCATCTAATTGGCCTTCCCAGCTTTCGTCGTCGCAAGTATGTACAATCTCCAATTATCGTATTCAGTAATTAATGAATCTTCAACTTGAAGTGGTCACTACCCATACCGAGAACTCTCAGTAAGCCCCACAATTGCTCCTTGACAGTGACACAATCTGATCGATCTCTTAAGACTTCCATGGTGGGCTTTAATCGTCGCTTTGATCATTGCTGTCGTTGTCCTACCATTCTACGGAGCCATGAATGCGATCTTTGCGTATGTCTGATTTATATTCACTTGGGGAAAGTATTTTAATTTCGGACGATACACAGATGGACCCCCGTTATTGCGAACCTTTTCCAAATCCTCGGTGCTGGGCTGATCCCTGGGTCTTCTCAAGCAAACATGGTGAGTGATTGGAAGTAGTGTGCATCGTTACTGTATTAGACTCATTAGTCTGTCTTATTAGTACTTTGAGCTCTACTCTAGTAGGGCACTCGACCAGGCAGTTCTAATGCTTGGCGATTTGAAGCTCGGTCAATACACCAAACGTGAGTCTTTTCTATACTTTTATTTCAGTTGTTCTGACAAATTGCCGCAGTTCCTCCAAGGGTAAGTCAATACTCGACGCTCTAGAAAACGTATAAATTTCTTTTAGGCAACGTTCGTTGTCCAAATTGCTGGGACTGTCGTGGGTGCCTTACTCAACTGTGAGTCCACGTTAGGGACATGTTTTGGATACGAAATTAAATGTTTCACAGACGTCATCATGCAAACGGTAATCAACAATGAACGTCCAATTCTTGTATGTCACCAGTGTTCCTGGCGTGGCTTACTCGACTTACCTTAACAACCCCGCCTTCTTTTCCAGCTCAGCAACGAGGGAACTCGCGTTTGGAGTGGTCAACAGATTCAGTCATTCAATGCCAATGGTATTTTTCCCGCTATTTTTTCACAGATTCATAGATGTCTTATTTCCTATTTTAGCCGTCCTTTGGGGAGCGCTCGGCAAGGAAATCTATGGACCTAAGGGCCCTTACTTCATCGTTCCCCTTGCAATCATTATCGGCCTCGCCCTACCCATCGTTCCATGGCTTCTGTACAAGAAGTACAGATGGGGATGGTTGCCTTTCGTCAACACTGCAGTTCTTTCTTGTGAGATTTTTCGTCTGATTTTACCCTTTCAGTTCTAATATGACTGGGACCAGACAACATCGGTGATCTTGCTGGTGGCACGAACGGATACATTAACACCTGGATGGCGATCGGCCTGACATCTCACTTCTATATTCGCAAGTACCGTGCTGGATGGTTCAGGAAATATAACGTGGGTTTCTCGTATTATTCCAGATTTTAGAAGCTAACGTGTCCTTCAGTACCTCTTCGGTGCTGCGATTGATGGAGGAGCTCAGATTTTTGTGTTCATCTTCTCCGTAAGTGTCTCATTGCTTGAGCTCTGCCTATTAAGCTCATTGTTTCTTTCGTAAAGTTCGCACTCGCCGGTGCAGGCGGAAAAGCCGTTGCTTTCCCTACTTGGGCACTCAACCCTACGGGCAACGCTGTAAGCCTCTTTCTAACCATCCCTTGCCCCTCTCCTTCTAACCATTTCCCCTTTCCAGGATTACTGTAAGGTTACTGGGCAAGAGTGATCGACCTAATGGATAGGAACTTTTTACGTCTGAGTCATGTACTACTTACGAGATACGATAAAGCTTGTATATGTGCGCTTTTGCATGTATATTTTGTTTTGAATTTACTACCTTTACCATAAAGCCAAACCTTGAGGTGTTTTGAACGCGAGAGCTTGTGGAGAGACAGGGATTAAAAATAACCCAGAGTCTCACCTGCACATTATTTGGCAGACTTGACAGACTATAACAAGGCAAAATTCCTATGACAATTGCCAAGTTTAAAGGAGGGAGTCGTTCACGGTACGCCCAATAGACTTCATCCTGTATTGATATAACTTTCTTCCTTCTTTATGCATTCAACTTTTGCATGCTCGTTCCCACATTGAATTAACGCCATTGTTTTCCTTTTATCCTGCCGCATTCCCACCCCTCTCTTCGTTCTCTCCACTCCATGCATGAAGTTCTTTGCCTATCTTCCGTCTTTTATTTCCTTTTTCGTCCCAGCTCGTGATTTCCTTTTTCCCGTCTTTTCTTTCCTTTTTCGTCCCAGAGGCTCGTGATTTCTTTTTTCCCGTCTTTTCTTCCCTTTCTCGTCCCAACCTGTGATTCATATCCCTCAGCTTGAAGGCGCAAAACTCCTTATCATAGTCTGGCGGCGCAGCTGCGCTGCGACCGTGAAAATGGATGGGAAATTACAGATATCAAGTTCGGTAGTTCAGTTGGTGGAACGTCTGCTTAACACGCAGGTCGTCGGTCCAAGTCTGGATCGGATGATTCTTTTTGCAATGTCTTCGTTCCGTCGCAAGAATCAACATCGCCCCAATACATTGGCAAACGATCAGACTCCTTCCTAGTCGTCCTCTAGCGTCACTTCCCGGAAAATGGTTGGGATGGAGTACAAGGCGGATTGAGCCCACAGGAGCCCATCGTATGTAAGCACCGAGGTAATTCCGAGAAAAGGCGGACGAAGTAACGCTGTCGGACATAAAATGTCTAGGCGCACATGCTCCACGAACGCGTCGTGTCACGTTTTTTCTCCCCTTTGGCGTGCTTGTGGCATGGGCGCCTAGACATTTTATGCCAGTTGTCCGACAGCGTTACTTCGTCCGCCTTTTCTCGGAATTACCTCGGTGCTTACATACGATGGGCTCCTGTGGGCTCAATCCGCCTTTTACTCCACCCCAACCATTTTCCGCGAAGTCAGTGCTGTAGGACGACTGGGAAGGAGTCTGGCAAACGATATCATAAAAGAAACCAAACAATGATGCTCAAAAGCCTCCGTGTGGCCTTGCGATAACCACCCATAACCACATCTGTGTCGCCTCCTCGAAAGAAAGTACTTACTCAAATAGAGGTCAGTTCAGTTTCATTATCATGTAGGATATATAGTATATTGAATGCCTAATACAAAGTATGAAATTAGACTTAACATTGAGATAATCCGAAAGCAAACAAGAAAAAGTCACATTAGTTGATAAATATGCCAAACAAAGATGGTAGTGATAGTCCTGGGATAGTCAAACATGAATGCGAAGAAAAAAGGAAAAGAAAGGTCATTTAATAAAGTCATGAGATTGTCGTAAGTTAATCATAACGAGTCGTATCATATGTCATAGGCGGAGGAAATTGAATGAGACGGGATGCTTGTATGCGGACTTGGACTTGACTTTGACAGAAACTTCGAGATAGAAATTCGGATGGTTGATGCACAAAGATAAAGAAGGTATTGGTGACATTACCCTAATGGACGATGCCGATAGATATCCCGAACCTTAATGCTTAATGCTTATTGGCAACTTGCCTCAACCCACAGTCCAGCGGCGCATTATCACCACACTTTAAGTGCGTCCTGCATCATAATGAACCACATCAGTATCATCCAAACAAACAAAGTCGAAAGAACTAACCTCATCCCACAATCATCACACTCCAACACACTCTTCCACCCCAGCCTCTGCCCACACAAATCACATCTCGCAACCAACAATCCACTCGCAAAGAACAAATGGAACGGACTCCATCCACCACTCAACTGAGCGGGTACGTTCTGATTCACGTTCGACATGGCGCGTGAAGGCGAGACAGAGCGGCTAGGCGAGTTTGTGGCACTTGTGCGGGGTGGGGATTTGACGCCTGGTTTCAAGAGGGTGAAGCGGTGGATTAGAGGTGCGGTTGTGATCAATGACGAAGGTTGAGGAGGGGGCGGGACGGGCCGAGTTGGCGCGGGCGGGTACACAGGCGGGCTGGGCGTCGAGGGCTCTGCTGGTTTAGTTGGTTGGGAGGGTGTTGCAGGTGTTGGAGGGGGCACCGACGGGGGCGATGGAGGCGATGGTAAAGCCTGGGGT